TACACAAAAAAAAAAAAAAAATGAAGTAAGAAACCAACATTTAAAAATCTAACAATCCAACTAAATCATTAAATTGATTTAAAATTTAGAGTTCCAAAGAGTAAATCATTGTACATATTCTTAAAATTTTATCTTGAAATATAAAATATAAGGATTGTTATATATTTTACAACAAATAAATAATATTATTAGTTTAAATTAAAATAACATTGAAAATAAGTTTAACATTATCTCTTGTAGTGTTTTTATTTTATATGTATATATATAATGACTTTTAAAGAAATTTGAGGGGGGCCCACAGGCTCCCCTGGACCTCATCTATGTCTGTCCTTGCGCTAAAGTAGGCCCAGACGGACCTCGACACTCTTAGACAGACTCAGCTGTAATTTTTAAATTTTTATTTTTTTTAAATATTAATTACATTATTTTATCTCTCATATTTTTTTTTTAAATATATTAATATTATAATTTGAACTTATATATGTTGATTAAGTTAAAGCTGTATGATGGAATTAAACCATCCTATCCCATCCACTCAAGTAAACGAGACCCCAGTACTTATTTTGCGATTATTATGTTTTTTTTAGGCTTCCCAATTTTGCGATTATCATTTTAATAATTTTCTATAAAATGATATTTGAAAAAGCAGACAAGCCAACAACACTCATGTCAATTTTTTCACAGGGACAATAATGCAAACACCTCTCATGCGCCATCAAACACCACGCTTCAAACACAGTCCCACACTCTCACAAAAGCTAAACGCACTCTCTCTCTCTCTCTCTCTCTCTCTCTCTCTCTCTCTCGTACACACACTCTACTTTGCTTCTTTCCCACACCTTCTCTTCATATCCTTTTTTACCTTTTGGCATTTGACAAACGGTACGCAGACGCCGGACATTCTTCATCCAGCTTCCAATTACTAGTCATAATAACTGTTAGATCCTCTGTCATTTGTCCGAACTCAAATCAAATCCAATCTGCAAGTTGGGTTTTTTGTGAACTGTGCCCGTGAAGGGGCGAGTCCGGCGAGAGATGGGCGGGGTGACGTCGTCTATGGCGGCGAAGTTCGCATTCTTTCCGCCCAATCCGCCGTCGTACGAGGTGGTTCACGACGGCGCGACAGGGCTGCTGCTGCTGAGCCCGTTCCCCCACCGCGAGAACGTGGAGGTCATGAGGCTGCGGACGCGGCGTGGGTCGGAGATAGTGGCGGTGTACGTGCGGAACCCGATGGCGACATCCACCTTGCTTTACTCGCATGGCAACGCCGCTGATCTTGGGCAGATGTACGAGCTGTTTATCGAGCTTAGCATACATTTGCGGGTCAATCTCCTCGGGTAATTGTAAATGCTTAAGGTTCTTTTGCTTTGCAAAACCCTAATTTCTTGATTATATAATATTTGCATATATCACTGCACAAAGCTGGAGTTTATGATTTATGAAATATGAGAGTCTTGTAATTGTCAGTCAGAGTCTCAGACCAAAGAGAAAGGAATGATATTTGAAATCTGCTTCTTTTTAGTGTTTGTTGAACTATTTTTGATTTTTTTTTTTTAGTTTTAAGCTTCACTGTTTTCCTCAATTTTAGTTTATTTATGTTTGGTCTCAAAAGGGATTCTGTTTTTGTGGATGCATTTTGGAGTTTAAATTCAAATCAGAGTCCTTGGTAGTTGTTAGCATAAATTTTAGCTGAAAAAATTATAGCTTATGATGGTTCTCGGAATTATGTTCAGGTATGACTATTCTGGCTATGGACAGTCATCTGGGAAGGTTTGTTTTAACCTAAGATTTGCCGGAAATTGTCCCTTTCTACCTTTTTGTGCTGAAGAATTAGAAAAAAAAAAAAACCCTCGAGGTTTGGGCTAAAACTCCATAATTTCCGAAGATTAAGTGGGATAACCTTTATACTTTCGTAATTGTCAAGATGTTTCGTAATTTTCAATGTTTTCTTTTTCTTTTGGTGATATTAGCCCAAACCTCTAGGGATGTTGTGGTGATCCCCATTTTTCGGTTGAAGAACTTAAATGTAAGTTTAAAGTGTGCATCTAATCTATTCTCCTTATGGTGGTAATTGTGTTTACAGCCCAGTGAGCATAACACATATGCAGATATTGAAGCTGCATTTAAGTGTCTCGAAGAGAATTATGGTACCAAACAGGAAGATTTGATACTGTACGGACAATCAGTTGGGAGTGGGCCCACCTTGGATCTAGCGGCTCGTCTTCCTCGTTTAAGAGCCGTTGTTTTACATAGTCCTATACTATCAGGCGTTAGAGTTATGTATGCTGTAAAACGCACATACTGGTTTGACATCTACAAGGTAAGATATCTCATGATCCATCACTTTACATTTCTTCTTTACGAAATTATTGGTCAAGTTATCACTTGCTGCCTTTGTTTTTGTGCAGAACATCGATAAAATGCCTCAGGTTAATTGTCCGGTTCTCGTCATTCATGTAAGTACAAGTTCACAGAACATTGTCAATTTTTTTATGTCATTGTAGCATCTTTCTTTGTGAATGACTCTTCTCTCTCTGCATTTATGCGGCAAATATCCTTTCAAGTTCTGTTCGTTAATGTGCATATGATCTGTCTATCAAATTCCCATTGTCCAATTCGAAAATTTTCGCAATGTTGATAAAATCAGGGGACGGCAGATGAGGTGGTGGACTTCTCACACGGCAAACAGCTGTGGGAGCTGTGCAAGCACAAGTACGAGCCCCTGTGGGTAAAGGGTGGGACCCACTGCAACCTCGAGCTGTACCCGGAATACATTAGGCACCTCAAGAAATTCATCTCGACTGTTGAGCGGGGCCCGTCCTCCTCCCGCAGGATCAGCACGCGGAAAAGTACCGAGCAACTCGAGCCATCAAGGAAGAGCACAGACTCGTCATTGTTCGAGCTGCCAAGGAGGAGCACGGATTGGAGGGAGAAGCCCAGGCACAGCACGGACAGGTTAGAAAGGACCGTGAAAAACAATGGGCCCCAAAATGGGGATCGATCGAGAATGTCGTTTGAGCAGGTGGAGAGGTCGAGGAGGAGTGTTGATAGTGTCGAGAAATCGTGGAAGTCTGTGGTAGATTATAATCAGTTTGAGAGGGGGAGGAAGAGTGTGGATAGGTTGGAGAGAATACGGTAAATTTTTTGTTTCTTTAATTTTTACATTTTAAACGTTATGCTAGTTGTGTGAAATTTAAGGATGGATGGATATATCGGCGGTGAGGGGTATAGAAGTGCTGAGATTGGGTTGGGATTGTTAATTTGGTATTCTCTTGGTTTGTAGTACATTTTTTTTTTGTTTTTATTGGGAGATGCTACGGTCTCGTTACGGAATCATCCTGTCGAAGTTTCTAATTGTTAGATCAACTATCTCTGACGATTACACGATGATCTAACAATTATAAATATCGACGAAATGGTTGCGTAAGGTGACATAGCGTTTCCTCCTTTTATGATTGTGGTTATGAGAATTGAGTGTAAGTCATAGAATAATGTGTTTTTACATTGTTGCAACTTTTGCTTTGATGCAAATCATGCAATTTTCCTTATCTCATCTCGAAAATCTAATCTCGAAATTATTTTGCAGCAACTCACAGTAAATTTCTTCGCTACTAAATTTATTTTAAATTTAGGAATATATTTTTAAAATAGTCCGTTTCACATCAACATTTATAATTTTTTAATATTAAGTTCAAATTTTACAACTCTATAAAATCTACCTCATTACTCTTTGTATTTTAGTTTTGTAATATGTTATGAAATTTACTAGTAGGACAGTCGTGTACTACACGGGCACTTAAATACATTAATATTTTTGTAATAGAAAAATTAAAATAATTTATTTTTATTGTAAAATTATGTACAATAAATATATAAAAATAATGAACAAACAAAGTAGCAATTTACTGAAAATGGAGCCCATATTTTTGTACTTAATTTTCTTATTTTATTTAAAATTTTTGAAAAAAAAAAACGCATTAAAATGATATTTTATGGTGTATTATTGAATTAGATTTTATTACATTTATTTGTAAAACAATTTATATTGTATTTATATTTTTAAAATTATTTTTTTACTAAATTTAGTTTTATTTATAATGAAAGATGTAATTATTTTTTATTTTATATTAACAATATAGATGTTAAATCGAAGATAGTTAAAATATAATTATTTTGAGATATAATATACAAAAAATGAAACACAAATAAAAAAATCATAAAGATTTTAAAATAAAAAGAATACATATTTATAACAATTATTATATGAATTGAATAAGAAAAAGTAATGAAAGAGAAATTTAAGTATGGGAGGCAATAAATTTATGGTAATGAAAGAGGGATTTATGAGAGACAATAATGTAAGATAAAATAATTATTTATGGTTGATACCAAGTCAAACTTGTTTCCAAAAGTTTCATCCGAATCTAAATACAAAGCATGATATTTTGAAACGTATGATTTCAAAGCATGCGAGCATGCCATTTAGGTTCAGCACATTCTGAATAGAGGGATTATATATTGATTGTTTATACACATAAAATATCAAAATAAATATGATGTAGCTACATATGAAGAATTGGAAAAATACCCTAAGTACCATTAGGTCGAGAAAATACCTAAAGACTGAGAGTAGGTCGAGGAAACTACTCGAGCTATTTGAAAGAATGTCGTCACGACCTATGAAGCATGTTATGTCGTGGTCAAGAGACCTATTCTTAGATCTCAGGTAGAACGATTTATCAAAGTAAAGACGACTTGAGGAGGCATTAGGGAGTGACCTATGAGAAACGTACCATGATAACTATAGAGACCTAATCAAGTTACCTAAATTCACATATACGAAAGAATCTTAAGAAGATAATAGAAAATCTATTGATGCTTCAGGTATGATTAGGATGAGGATAAGGCTAAACCCCGGGTTGTTGGGCAGGCTGACCACGGGCAAGTCGGGCAGACGAATTTGGGCAGGTTTCCCCCTATAAAAGGGAAGTGAGGTACAATTACAAATCTTCTTCCACATTCTATACCTTATATGCACTTAATTCTCTAGATCTAGGGCTTTACTTTTTTCTCTGTGCCGACTTAAGCATCAGAGGCTTATCAGAGGCTTTACGCTGGAATCCTCTCTAGCGTTAAGTTTTTACAGGTCAACGCGCGACGGTTCAGGCGGATCGGAGCCGTTCTCCACCGATTCTACCTAGACTCAAGTAGCGACCCATCATCTGGCGCCATCTGTGGGGAGCTTTAATTTGAAGAAACTAAGAGCTTCACACCAAGATCCCGATCACCTGAGATGGCTGAAAGAGACGTAGTGCTGAGGAATTTGAGTGAGGACTTATTGGACAAAAAAACGTCCTCTGAGAGTTTTTCAATATTTAAATACAAATTCAATAAAAATAACTTTTTAAACTATAAAATAAATTAATAATCACGTCTGCAACAGGTGCATCTTCCTAGTACAAGATGAACCACCATTCATATAAGATACATACATTATGCTAACAAGGGCTTATCCAAGATAGATATTCATCAGTCGAACATAACGATATGTTTTGGGAAGTAATCCTTAGCGAATCCACTACCATTAACCTCGTTTAGGCATGCCAATTTCGTCACCTAAGAATTTTTAATAGTGAAACACGAACTATTGGACGATGGGGGGTTTTGTTCCATTAGAACTATATAACGTGATCACAAAGTGTACAGTATGCATACATGTACGGGTTGGTTTGATGAACCGGCTCAAATTAAGGTATTTAAATTTCGGATAATTGCCTCGTCATCGTCAAACGTGTAAGTTCCGATTAACAATTAGCATCGAGATCCTTTCCTGCAGCTAAGTACCCCAGCAGCTGAAGTGATTGAAGCAACGAGAGAAGATGGCCTTGCATTTAAACTCGATGCCTTTGCATACGTCGACCACGCCCCTGCCCCCGACTCCCGAAAATATGCCCCGTTAAGGAATAAATCCCCTTCGGACCTCCAATTCCACCGGCTCCACTCACTTTCTGGCGCATGCTCGTGTTTGGTCGCCTCTTTCCTGAATCTGTCATTGGGTGCAAGGAACCTGTTCCCCTGGCTATATATAGTAGGCGAAGCACTCCCCCCGATTGCATACATTTCCCAATGCGTATATTCATTGTTCACCACGTGAAAATACCCATGCCTGCACCTGTTGTTACAATTCATAGTTCAACCTCAAATTAAATTCATCTTATTAATTATTCATCATAAAAATTAATTAATAAAAATTGCTAATGTATATATACCTTGGCATCCTTTGAACCAAGCCTTCCCCGAAATGATTAAACGCAATGGTGACCTTCATAATCTTGTCCTGCACATACTCATCACTATGCCCCAACAGCATCACCTTATCATGATGGCTGAAATAGTTGTTCGAGATGGTTATCCCAGTCGACCCGTGGATCGCGTCGATCAACCCGTCAGCACAGCTGGAGAGCGAGCAGTGATCGATCCAAACATCCCGACTGCTGAAGATCGACACGCCGTCACCGTCCGACGGCCCCCACCACCCNGCATGCCACGGCGAATCCCTAATCACGGCACTGCCCGACCTCGCGCAGTCGTGTATGTGAACCCCGTGGATGATCACGTTGCTCGCGCGGTGGATCGCGACGCAGGCGCCCCCGGCGCCGATGTGGACGCTCACCCCGCGGCCGTCGATCGTCTTGTGGGACCCGACGATCAACGGCTGGCGCAGGCGGATGACCATGTCGGACTGGAAGATGATCCACAGGGGCTCGGGTTGGATGGCGGCGTGGCGGAGGGTTCCCGGGCGGGGGCTGAGGGGGTCGTCGTGGATGGAGTCGGTGACGACGTAGATGCGGCCGTCCCTGCCGCCGACCGCGTTTCGACCGAAGCCGATGCCACAGTCGGCGAGGCGCTGCCGGTGGGACGCCCAGTTGGCGTCGCACCGCCAGCAGTCGTCGATGGGGTTGCCGGTGGCGCAGGGATGGTTGCCTAAGGTTATTCTTCTTGATGCGTTGTTTACTCCCCTGTTTTGTACATGCATGCATATATTGTGAGTGGATGCAGAGTACTTACAAATGTAAGAAGAAAACGGTTATTGTTAGTAGTACTTACTGGATAACATCTTGTACCATGATATCTGGGTCTCGACTGTCATGAACGGAAGACGGTAAGACGGGGCTTACAGTTGTAAGAGTGAGCAAGGAGAACACGAACAAAAAGAAAGACAACATTTTATTTTATTAATATTTAATTTGTGGAGCACGGCACCAGTTGTTGGAGACTAAATACTATGGTAAGAAGAGAGGATTATAAAGCAAATTCAAAGTAATCGCCCGTAATAAATGGCGTGATTAAAAACTACATGTCGGACGACTTTGTATTTAGGTGCTTATAATTTCTCTTGCAAGTGTTCACATTCACTTGGATTCATATAGTGTTTGTAAAGGGGGCTTTATAGTCCGTTTCACATTTTAATAGTTGGTTAAGTCAGTTTGTCTTTTGTTTTTTCTTTTTCTTTTTAGGATTAATTGTTATTTAAACTTTTATCGTGTTTGACAATTTAATTCAAATTTTTGGATAATTACAATATAATTCTGACTTTGACTTACTTTTGCAAAACGAACTTAATTTTCGTCGGAAATTCAAAGAATGTGCCCGGTCACCCTACACCTGTTTTGGGGATGGGAGCGTGTGTGACTGCTTATATCCACGTTGGATTTTCAGTTTGTTGAGTGACGAATTTTTGTGACTGAAAACTTATGTGCCATGACATGGCTCATATGTGGAATTAATAAGTTAGGAAACAAAAAATCCACCTCTATTAAAACTTTGAAAATGTACCCTACATTAAATCAATCAACAAATTAGAGCTTCTAAAAATGTGCTCCCAGATTAAATCACACACTTATTCTAATCATCGACTTAATAAAACAATTTCTTTTTTTTTTTTAAAAAAAAAGAAGGAAAAAAAAACTTCACCTCCTAAAACTTTCATGATCGTCCAGTTACCTTCCGCAGCCAAAAGCTCCTCCTCGTCGGCACCATTGTGGTGGAAGATCTCAGCGCGGCCCTCCTCAACAACTGCACCACCCAATTCGCCGTAGGTCGGGTGTTCTTCCCAAGCCCCATCCCCTTTCCGTCCATAGAGGTCAAAGAAGCTCAATTCGACCAGAAACACCAGTGTGGGCCTCAATCGGGCCTCCATGCCAAAAACGAGTATTCTAAGTCCCCGATTACGAATTTTTAGGGCAATAGAGGAAATCAAATATTGGGTAAACGCTGTTGTAGGGGTCGATGGTGAACAACTGAGCTTAAATGTCGAGAATCTGACGGGCGGCAGCGAGGTTGATGCCCATCGATGAGAGGCATTGAGTGATGGTGGAGATTGGTGCTGAATGGAAATTAAGGTTTCTGTATAGTGCTTTAGTGGGGTTAGCTTTGATGGAGTCAAGGTAAAGGTTCTTTTCTGGCATTTGTTGTCGGAGCCGTCGATGGTGGCCAGAATAGTGGCGGCATGGTTGTCATTAAGGTGGAGATGTAGGGTTTAAGGATTTGAATTTTTATTTTTATCGGGTTTAATTTTGTGGATGACTGTACAATTAAATCTTAAATTTTCTAATTCCACGTATTTTATGTTTTCCTACTTAGCAAACTGAAAATCTAACGGGGATATAAGCAGCCGGACACGCTGGCATTTTTTTAATCTCTGACGAAAATTAAGTTTGTTTTGTAAAAGTAAGTCAACGTTAGGATTATATTGCAAATATCCAAAAAGTTTGGATTAAATTGTCAAACGTGAAAAGGTAAAGGTTTAAATAGCAATTAACTCTTCTTTTTATTGGTGCTACAGTCCCGTTACGAATCATTCCGTCGGAGTTTGTAACCGTTGAATCATCATTTAACCGTCGGGGATATTTGATTTAACGGTTACAAACCCCGACGGAATGATTCCGCAACGGGACCGTAGCATTTCTCATTTTTTTTTTATTATTAATAGTAAAGTGCACTTGCCGGTTAAATTTTTTTTTCCAAATAAATTTTACTCTAAAGAAAAAATAATTAGTTGATAATCATACATCATGTGACTGATTGAATAATAATAATAATAATAATAATAATAGTAATAATAATAATAATATGAGTTACTATTATGTTTTCAATAAAAATAGAATGAGATAATAGATTGAGGTATTAACGTGAAATAGATGGAAAAACAATGGGTTTGTAATGAAA